AGCGAGAGGAGGAGGAGGAGGAGGATGCGTATTATGATATGTATGAGTTTGTGTAGTCGTATTGAAATTATCGTTAATTAGGGAGTTTTTTTATGAGGCATGATGACTTCTATGTTAAGGATTTGTTTGCGTCTGATTATGAGTGATTCTGAGTTTGGTCGTTTAGACTTTTCCTTTCTTCTGCAGTAGAATACTGAGTCTTGTGTTCGTAGGAGTCTTTTTATCTTAGTAGTCCTTATGATTCTTGTCTATCTCGCTGGTGCTGGTTTTGTGGGGTTGAAGTCGCGCCAGTCAGCTTCGACCCAGTACAGGCCCCCCTGGTATCCGCCCAGGAGTGGCCCCGTGCTCGCCCCCACATAGCCCCGCCCCGAGAGACGTTGCCGAGGGCTCTAGAGGGGCAGTGCGGATCGATGTTCTCCGAGATGGTCCCAAGAAGGCCTACGACGCTCCCGAGGGGACCCCAAGAAGGCTGCCACGGCCACCGGGAGGCCGTTCCGCCCTCCTGCTTTGCCTGCCCCTCGGCCACTTGGCGCTTGCCCACTGTTGCCTCGTCTCCACGAGCTCCTCCTGCTGAAGATGCTTCCAGGTTTCGTTTGACGGATCCCCATCCCCACTTGGCCAAGATATCTCAGCCCCACCATATCCCACCACTCCAGCTGGGGATAGGCCCCTCGAAACCCACAGGGAACACGCCTGTACCCCAATCCAGGGGGTGAATCGGCGAGTGTGGCCCAGGCCACGCCAGTGGGGTTAGGGATCGGCTAAACGATGCTCAGCTCCTCACTCTCCTCCCCAATTTCGCCGACTGGGGGCCTGCGCGGAGCGCCGTCCAGGCTGCGTCGCGATGGTGACGGCGATGATGCAGACGGTGGTGATCCAGATGTGCGTCCTCCCCATGTGCCCAGCGATGAGCATGACGAGGATGAGGACGAGGATGGGACTGGAGTTAGGTCGGGCGTGTCCCTCTACAGGGGGAAGATTCAAAAATGGTCAAAGAATAGTCAGGGGACGAGGTTTGGATTACTTTTGAGCATTAGGGGGAAATTGTTTGAGTATCTGTTATTTTTCTGCCAAAATCCCCCTGCAGGGGGGCACGCCCGACTTGAGACTGGAGGGGGGCGGCACCTGGCAGCCTAGAGGCTGCCGGCTCGGGGAGAAGCCGTCAGCCGCGAGGGCGGGCTCCAGGCTCGTGCGGCAGGCTGACTGCCAGGACAAGAACGGAAGAAACGCAGAGGAGAGACGAGAGTGTAGGAAAAGGGGGGGGGGGAGGGGGGGGGGGGGGAGGGGGGGTGTGGGAGGACGAGGGGGGGGGGGGGGGGGGGGGAAAGGGTGGGGGGGGGTGGGGAGGTGGGTGTGGGGGGGGGGGGGGGGGGGGGGGGGGTGGAGCGGGGGGTGGGTGGGGGGGGGTGGGAGGAGGGGATGGGGAGTTGTAGGGTAAATCAAAAGTGGCATGAACATAAAAACTCGGAGGTCCGCGCGGATTTCTCGAATCGGCGCTGGACCCCCCTCCCTGGCGCGCGCAGCGCGCTAGGGGCGGCGCCGGAGGCGCCGCCGGGGGGGGCCCAGCGCCGATCCGAGAAATCCGCGCGGACCTCCGAGTTTTTTATGTTTATGTCACTTTTTGTTCCCCTAGAGTGGGAGCCCTCCTGTACTTTCCCAATGGCGGCACCACGGACATGACACAGGAGCGTTGCAAGAGCCTCGGCGGGGGCTCCACGGGACGGACTCCCGCGGCAGCCGCGCGGACCTACATAGCACCCCCCTCGCGAGGTCCACATGCGCATCCTCCTCATTCTCCTCCGCGCCTCCGCATCCTCAGTATCCGCCTCATCCTGGGCCTGCTGGGCCTGGTACTGCTCTGCTGTTGGTGCTCGTCCCCATGATCTGCCTCCCCCTTCGCCTCTCCGTCCCCGGCCTCGCGATTTGCACCCAGCGCCACTGGCGCAGGCTGCTTCAGCATCTCCTGGCGTCTCCTAGCACATCCCAGGTTTAAACCAACATCGGAGCCTGCAGGTCGGCGTCTGGGAGGCTGCTCTGACTCCGGGGGAAGGGGATGCAAGGGAAGGTTGCGGTGGGAACTATTGGACGGACCCCTCGCAGGCTTCAGATCAGCAGTGCGGTTCGCCGAGAGCTGGCAGACCCTGAGCGTCGAGGCCCCCGCCTCATGTTCTTCCTCCTTAGTTGCTCCCCTCCTCTTCCTCCTCCTCCTCCCCATCCTCATCCTCATCCTCTCCTCCTCCTCCTCCTCCTCCTCCTCCTCCTCTCTCTCCTCCTCCTCCTCCTCCTCCTCCTCACTCCTCCTCCTCCGTCCTCCTCCTCCTCTCCGCCTCTTTCCTCATCCTCATCCTCGCCTCGTTCCTCCTCCTTCCTCTTCCTCTTATTCCTCTCCTATCCTCCGCCTCTGCTCTCCTCCTCCATCCTCCTCTCCTCCTCCTCCCTCGCCCTCCTCCTTCCTGCCTCCTCCTCCTCTCGGCCTCCTCCTGCTCCTCCTCCTCCTCCTCCTCCTCCTCCTCCTCCTCCTCTCCTCCTCCTCTCTCCGCTCCTCCATCCTCTCCTCCTCCCTCATCCTCATCCTCATCCTCATCCTCACCTCGTCCTCGCTCCTCCTCTTCCTCCCTCCTCTCCTATCCTCCTCCTCCTGCTCCTCCTCCTCCTCCCTCCTCCTCCTCCTCCCCTCCTCCTCCTCCGCCTCCTCCCTCCTCTTCCTCCTCTCCTCCTTCTCCTCCTCCTCCTCCTCCTCCTCCTCCTCCTCCTCCTCCTCCTCCTCCTCTCCGCCTGCCTCTAGGGTAGGGTTCGGTGGGCCCGGATCGGCACCGGCAGCGCCGCAGGCTGAACTTTTTGTGGGCCAGCAGTTGGCCGACGGAGCGTCCGTGTCGGTTGAACCCCGAAGCGAAAGTACAACCATCGGGGTCGGCAAAGAGGGGGGTGATGACTGGGGGGGGTGGATATCACGGCGTGGGCCATGATATATTTCCCCAGATTTCATGGCGCCTCTTCTTATTTCACGGCGTCCCCAGCACCCCCCCGGGGCCGCGCACGTGCCGCCGGTCATGATTTGCACCCCCCTCTCTTGGACACCCCCCTTTCGGCCGCTCCCGAAACAACCAGCACCGCTAAAGAAATGTCCTCATCCGTGTCTACCAGCCTCGAACTTATCCCTATCCCTAAGATTGACACGCCAAAAGGCGATGACAATCTTAGGGATTCGCCCTCAAAAATAAGGGAATCCCTAAGATTGGCACCGTGATGAGGAGATGCCCAGCATAGGGATAGGGACATGTTCCAGGCTGGTAACCGTGTCGTCGTTATTGCTCTCCTCCCGATCTCGTCATCCGGCTGCCTGCGGGGAGGAGAGAGCGGCGCATGCGGGGAGGGCGGTGCATGCGCGGAGATGAGGGCCAGAGGGAGGGGGCCTTGTTAGAATACCGGAACCTACCGGACAACCAGGCAGCCCTTGGCATTCTTCCACGCCTCAGCGTGCACAAGGCGCGGTGGCGGATCCACTCTCTCCTGCTGCTCGTGTTGCTCCTCCCCCCTCTCCACCCGCGCGTTCTGCCACGCACGTGGGAGCCCAAGTTTCAAGCGCACCCTGCAGGCGAATGCGCTGCACAATTCGCCATACTGCGTCAGCATTAATACAAAAACAGCAGCAACAACAACAACAACAAAACCAACATCAACAACAAAAACAACAACAAAAACAAATCAATTACAAAAACAACAACAAAAACAACACCAGCAAAAACAACAACTACAAAAGCAGCCACTAACAAAAACGATGCATGCATATGTAAATGTATCGCAGCAAGGTTGCTCAGATAATGGTTTGCTGCTAGCCGTCGTCGCGTAGGCCATGACGGTCACCCCTGAGCACACCCAAACAATTGTTCTACACGTGAGACTTGCACAGCAAGGTTCAACAGGGAATGTGACGCAGCAAGCGCAACGCAGTGCTGCGCAACGTCACACCGCCACAGCATGCAACGTCAGAAGACTGCACAGCGAAGCAAACCATAGCAGATATGTCGCCTGTAGAGTTATGTGTTTGCCACTCCACCCCTCAGCTTTCTCGAACCAATCAGGACAACCATGCAGAAGTCTAGGTGGGAGTGTTCGTCAACAACAAGCCGAAGCGACCAACACGAATTGAAACGCATGCTACACTTCAGTACAACAGCATACCTGCCAAACGGAGATCTTTTCGCTTAGATTTGAGCAAACAAACGTGCCATCACAGGCAGCATGCAAATCACGCCGCAACGGAAGCAAGCACTGCAGCAACAGATGAGTTGCACCGAACAGGAGGTGAAATGCATGGCCACATTGCCCCGTGGTTGTCGCCCCGTTCCCGAGCCTCCCCGACCCGCTCCCGCCAAGCGCGGCAACGTATGTACAGTCGGGGCCTTGAAGAAGGAACCATTTTCGTTGGGGAGGGGCTCCGCGTTCCTTAATTGTTTCACAGCTTGCCTCAGGCTTTCCTTATGTTTTCGACAGGATATCGAAGGTTAACTCATGGAAAAAAGGGGCCTCGTTCCTTATTTAGGGTTCCTTAGGTCAAGGCCCCGACTGTACAGTAGGCACGTCAATCAAGAAGTCAGCATGCCAGCAGGTGCCCCCACACGTGCTTCTTGCTCCCCGCAGCCCCCATGGACCCACGAAAGTCTTGGGGCGCCTTCGGCAGGTGACCAGATCGACGACAGACATGCACCTACAGTTCTTCTCGGGGGGGCTGGGACCGGGAGACTTCGTCTCAGAGAGTTCCAGGCCTCTCTCGAGACGCTCGGATTCGATTTGGAATGGCCGCAGGCCCGAGACGTGCTCCATACCCGCCGCATCTCAGAAGTCCCCGCTGCATCCTGGTCCGATGCTGTCCTGGCCAGGGTCTCGTCTCATCGCACAGCAAGATATTTTTTCGCGTAGCTACGCGTTGCGTTGCAGTCAGCATGCCTCACCCCGCAGCGAGGAGCCCAGCAGGCAGAGCAGCTCCCGCGCGATGCCCCAGGCGTCCCGGCTCGAGCCAGCCGGGGCCGAGGCAGCCAGGCGCGCAGCAGGGCCCCAGGCATCCGACGCTCTGATCTTTTCACCACGGGGCCCCTGGAAGGCCTGATCCCCCTCCTCCTCCTCCTCCTCCTCCTCCTCCTCCTCTCCTCCTCCTCCTCTCTCCTCCATCCTCCTCCTCTCTTCCTCCTCCCTCCTCCTCCTCCTCCTCCTCCTCTGATCCTCCTCCTCCTCCTCCTCCTCCTCTGATCCTCCTCATCCTCCTTCCCTCCCTCCTCCTCCTCCTCCTCGTCTGATCCTCCTCCTTCTGCTCTTCCTCCTCCACCACCTCCTCCTTCCTCCTCCTCCTCTTCCTCCTCCTCCCCCTCCTCCCCCTCCTCCTCTTCCTCCTCCTCCTCCTCCTCCTCCCCCTTCTCCTCCTCTGATCCTCCAGCGAGGGCCCCCAGAGGCCAAAAACGGCCAAGAGTCGGGGGCGGCCAAGAGGGGAGTGATGACCAGGGGGGGCGGATATCATGGCATGAGCCATGATATCTCCCCAGATGTCATGGCGCCTCTTCTTATTTCAGTGCGTCCCCGCCCTCCCCCTGGACCGCGCACTTGCCGCCGGCCATGGTTTGCACACCCCCCTCTTGAACGCCCCGCATCTTGGCCGCCCCCGAAAAAGCTTCCCTCGCGGGCGACAAGCGCATCCGCATCCGCGGCCTCGCTGGCAGGGCCCACTCGGCCACGACCCCGCGCATACGGGGCGATTCTTCCCGGGCGCCCCCCGCGTGGAACGTGCCCGTGCGACCGCGGAGCCGCGGCATCGCGCCCCGGAATCCCAGGCCGCGCGGGCGCGGATACACGGCTACGTTCACCGCGCGCGACTCCCGCCGTGGCTCGATCAAGACGCGAGCATGCCCGGGGGAGGACAGGTCGTGGTGCCGTCGGCGGGGCGCATGGCCGCAGACGGGCCCTGCGCCCGCGAGCAGCGCCCGCGCGCGACGGCGCCGGGGCCGGCGCGGGCGGCCGAGGAGGCCGTCGGCCAGACGTAAGAGCGACCTCGCGCCGGAGTGGCCTTTGTTGGTGCGGGCACCCTGGGGTCCCCCAGATGGCCGAGCGCAATACGATGCATAGCAGCGGCGTGCAAGCCAAGGTGTGGCCTCCCCGCGCCCCCCGAAAGTCGCGCACCAGGGGTCACTCGTGCCTAAATCTAGGCCTACCAGATGGCGTCCGAGTAGAGGGGGTCGGAGGATCGCGCCGCATCGCCGATGCATCGGCGATGCATCAGCGATGCGGCTCGATGTGGAGCCCGATTTTCTCCACGCTGGCGTCGCTGGTGCTTCACCGACGTCGCCGATGCATCGGCGATGCATCGTCGATGTATCGGCGATGCGGCGCGATCCTCCGACCCCATCTGCTCCGACCCCATCTAGGAAGCCTCCACTAAAGGTCAGCCACGCGCAGGGGTGGGTGGGTGGAGGGGTGAGGGCTTCTCAGAAGTCCCCCTGCTTCTTAGAAAGCGCGGGCCTTATCTATAGATGTAAGGCCAGCGTCTTCTAAGAAGCAGCCTCCTTCTAAGAAGCCCCGCCCCCCTCCCTCCACCTCCTTGCGCGCGCCGCCAAAAAGGGAAAACCTCGACGGGAGGTGTCTCGCTCTTTTCGGCCTCTGGAGGCCCTTGCCGGGCCTCGGGACTGTCAAGGAACGACCCGGGACGAAAAGCTGGTCCCGGGGAGTGGGTCGAGACCTTTGGGGAAGGCCATTCTAGCAAAAATCATGACGTCGGGGGTCTGAGACTCTCAGACCCACCTCTTGAGGGCGGGGAGGATCAGAGGAGGAGGAGGAGGAGGAGGAGGAGGAGGAAGAGTTGCCGCTGCCCCTGCTTCACGTTCGCACCCTTTGGGGCCTCCTGGAAGGCCCGCAACGTTGCCGATGGGTTCGCCTCCCTGAGCCAAGGGACGAAAAGCACCCTCACACCCCTGGTTGGCGTTTATATTAACCGGTCCTGGGCTTTACTAAGCAGCTCTGCCCTGTTCGATTCCATCTCTGGGTGCCTCTACTAAACGGCTTCGCTCGTCGGTGTGTTTATCACGAGGATACTTGTTCTGCTCTACTGAGCTCCGACGTTTCGAACAAAAAATCAACATCGCGAAACATCACGGCTGGAGCCCTAGACTTGTGGAAGTCGATGAATGGAGAGGAAGCGTGCTGCCAACTAATTTCCAGGTGAACATGTTTCAGACATGCTTAAAAGGTGTAACAGCATGTTTGAAACATTGTTTGAACATGCTTTCCATATGTTAAGCACATCTTTCATTCAATGATAGGATCGTTGGAGTGTCCATTGTCATGGCACGCACAGCCCCAGACCTCCTGTGTTCCAGCGATACTGTTCGAGAGCTCGGTCGACCTGTGGGGGCCCCCCGAGGGCCCGAGGCCGGGCGAGAGCGCCCCGCGTGAAGAAGTGGCAGCGCCCAAGATCTGGGGGCCTCCTCCTCCTCCTCCTCCTGCTCCTCCTCCTCCTCCTCCTCCTCCTCCTCCTCCTCCTCCTCCTCCTCCTCCTCCTCCTCCCCCCCTCCAGCTTCTGGTGGTGGTGCTGGTCGGAGCGCACCCCCGGGATGCGGATGCACCTCCTGGGAGGTCAGAGTCTGACTCATAGCCCTGGTCCGAACTCCCGCCGACTCCGGCTGGCTCCCGCTGAAAACCCGGCCGACTCCCGCTGGATCCGAGGCCCACTCTGGCGCAACAGCCCCCCAATGGGGCTCAATCCTCCTCCGTCGTTCCGACGGAGATCTCCCAGTGGTTGCCTCCTAATTGTAATTGGGAGAGGTCCGGGGAGCAGCGGCATCGTCACAGTCGAAGCCGATGGTAAGGATGGGTAACCTTCCCAGGGGTACCCTTGCGTCATTGCCTCCTCGGTCCATCCTTAGATAGCCCCCCTTTCCATGGCCAGCCCCGCTCGAAAAGCTTCGGCACGGGCGTCCAAGGAGCTGCAGCCTTACCACACATCCTTGCTATAAGACTGCGAAGGCCTTGCGGCCCGCCGTGCCGCCGACCCCGAAGACGACGAAGATGAAAACGAGGGCAGGAGGAGGGGGAGGAGGGGGAGGAGGAGGAGGAGGAGGAGGAGGAGGAGGAGGAGGAGGAGGAGGAGGCGTTGTGGCATCCTGGAGTCTTTTGGAAACAGCTTTTCATGGTTTCGGGGGCGCTCGAGGGCTCGAGGGGGAAACGTATCTGGGCGGCATCCTTTGGCCGTCTGGGGTCCCCCGTTTGGCCGTCCTTAGGCGTTCTTGGGCTATCTTGTGGGGCTTGGGCCGTCTAGGGGCGCTCTTGCGGACCCGTCGTGGCGACCCCCCCCTCCAGCGCATCTACAGAGGGCCCCCCTGTAACGGGGGATGCGAATCTGACCCCCCCCCCCCCCGGGACCGCCCCCCCGCCGGTGAAGGGACAAAGGGAAGGGGCTTCCCTTTGACGTGACTACGACGTGGGTCGACTTCCTTCAATCCCCGGACTCCTCCCCCCGACGACGGGAGAGTGCTCTCTCACCCCCGACGGGGAAGGATGAACAGAATAGGCGTTCCGTCGACGGGACCAGACAGGCACCCCACACACGCTGACAGGGTCGGCGGATTTTACTGTACCTCTCTGGCCCCCCCCCCAGGGTGAGGACAAGCGCCGCGAGATCGTGGCCGCGCGCCGCCGCGCCAACCGCCGCAGGTTCCTCGGCGCCGACGGCGCCTTCGCCGGGGAGTGCAGGAGCCTTGGGGGAGGAAGTCCAGCCCCCCAGATGGGGTCCGAGCAGACGGCGTTGGAGGATCGCGCTGCATCGCCAATGCGTCGCCGATGCGGCTCGATGTAGAGCCCGACGCTCTCCACGCCGACGTCGCCGATGCATCGCCGATGCATCGGCGAACCTACTGTTGAAACCAATGGTAAGGATGTGCAACCGTCCCAAGGGTACCCCTTGCATCATTGCCTCTTCGATCTGTCCCGGACCTCTCTCGATTGCAAGCCCCACTCGGAACGCCTCGGCATGGGCCCCCAAGGGTCTCGCAACCTGATCGCGCATCTTTGCGATCGGCATGATTGAACTCGGACCCCATCTGGGAGGCCTCCCAGAAGGGCGGCACGGGCACAGGCGGCTCGAGGGCCCGCGCGGTTCACTTGGGACCTGCGCTGGTTCTCCAGGCCTCCCAGAGTCGAGTAGGAGATGGATCACAGAATTGGTGTACCGCAGAAGTGACTGTTTCGTCGAAGATGCGAAACGAAAACGTTCAATGTCCGTAGGTCTACGACCATCCGACGTGCTCGTTGGAGCCGACGAGAAAAGTTGGGGGTGCACCGATTACGTAGTCGATCTCCTACTCGACAGATGGGGTCGGAGGGTCGCGCCACATCGCCCATGCATCGCCGATGCCTCGGCGATGCGGCTCGATGTGCAGCCCGACGTTCTCCACGCCGACGGCGCCGCTGCATCGGCGATGCGGCGCGATCCTCCGGCCCCCTCTGCTCGGAGCCCCTCGGGGAGGCCGCTGGGCAGGGCCACGAGCTCTCCTCGGAGACCCACGCGGGCCCCTTGGACTTGCGCTGGCCCCCCCCCTGGCGGCGCCTCGGCCGCCGCCCCCGGCGGTGCCTCGGGGCGCCCGGGAGGGAGCGGGGGCTCCCGAGCGGTGCGGGGAACGCACCATGTGGTGAGTCCGTGGGGATTCCTGCTCCTCCTGCTCCTCCTGCTCCTCCTCCTCCTTCTCCTCCTCCTCCTCCTCCTCCTCCTCCTCCTCCTCCTCCTCCTCCTCCTCCTCCCCTCCTCCTCCTCCTCCTCCTCCTCCTCCTCCTCCTCCTCCTCCTCCTCCTCCTCCTCCTCCTCCCCTCCTCCTCCTCCTCCTCCTCCTCTCCTCCTCCTCCTCCTCCTCCTCTCTCCTCCTCCTCCTCCTCCGCTCCTCCTCCTCCTCCTCCTCCTCTCCTCCTCCTCCCTCCTCCTTCTCCCTCCTCCTCTCCTCCTCCTCCTCCTCCTCTCTCCTCCCTCCTCCTCTCCTTCCTCCTCCTCCTCCTCCTCCTCCTCCTCCTCCTCCTCCTCCTCCTCCCTCCTCCTCTCCTCCTCCTCCTCCTCCTCCTCCTCTCTCCTCCTCCTCCTCCTCCTCCCTCCTCCCTCCTCCTCCTCCTCCTCCTCCTCCTCCTCCTCCTCCTCCTCCTCCTCCTCCTCCTCCTCCTCCTCTTCGGAATGACCGCACGATTCTGGGACTTGGGTCGTTTGTTCTCGGAGGATCTGGTGGCCGACCGTGTGGTGACGTCCTCGCGGATTCCGGGTGACCGGACGGCTTTTGGATTTGGGTCGTTTGTTCTCGGAGGACATGGTGACCGACCGTGCGGTGACGTCTTCGCGGATTCCGATGGCACCGCACGGTCTGTCATTGCACCCAAAGGGGGCTCAGCGTATACTCAGCGCCAAACTAATAATAGCACAACTGCCTGAAGACGTGTGCTATTGTCTACCCTTCCGTTCAAGGATATGTAGAAACATAATCTCAACAAAAAAATCGAGAACAACATGAAACTTATAATATGGATGTAACAGCGATTTCGCGGGGGAGCCGTGCCCAGATCCCGCAAATTTGCCCAGATCCTGAGAATTTGCCCAAGCCCACCCCACCTGACTTGTGCTATGTCATCCCCTTGCTGTGCTCTGTGCGCCCCCCTCCCTTGCATTACCCCCCCTCCCTGAAACGCGCCGCCGCTCGAGACATCCCCACGACCGCGGCACCCCCGCTCGCGGCATCGTCGCAACCGCGACGCCCCCGCCCGAAGCATCCTCACACGAGGGCGGCCGCCGCTCGAGGCATGCTCACAGCCGCAGCGCCGCGGCTCGAGGCACCCTCACAGCCGCGGCGCCGCCGCTCGAGGCATCCCCACGGCCACGGTGCCACCGCCCGAGGTGTCCTCGCAACCGCGCCGTCGCCGCCCGCGCCGAATCATCCTCACAGCCGGGGAGGGATCGGCGGAGGAGGTGGGCAGGTCCTCGCGCGCCTCCTCGCCCTCCACCTCGACCCTTCTGCCAGGGGCCCCTCCCCTGCAGTCCCCTGGAGAGTCCGGGGAGGAGGAAGAGGAGGATGCGGAGGATGCGGAGGCGAGTGAACCCCGGCCCCCGCTCCCTGGACTTCCGGGCCCTCTAAGGAGCCCCCCCCCGGGCGCGCCGCGGTCTGACTTGTGCTATGTGCCCCCCCCCCCGCTCCCTGGCGCGTCATGCCCCCCTCCCGGGGACGCGCCGAGTTGGGGCACGATTGGCCGGTCGTGCCCAAGGCCCCTCAACCTCGAGGATTGGGGTCGTTGTGCCCCCCGCAATCGGGTACGGTATATAGATTCGCGTCGTGTCGACCGGCGGCGACTCCCCACCGGCGTTCAAAATTGAACGGCGTTGGCGACCCAGAGTTGGTTGATGTTGAAGGATCTACATTTCTGAAATGGCCGATCGTTCAAGGTTGAACGATTCTCGCGGTGTTAGGAACCGACGCCGGGTTCGACGACACGAACCTGCCGTAGGAAGGGTATCGAGGCTTGAGAGTTCGAGGCCCGATGGGGGGAGGATCGAGAGGGGGGGGGACAGGGGCATGGGGGCGGGCGGATAGCACATGCGCTCCCACGGGTGATGGATAGTACAACCGAGGGACAAATTTTGAAATTGTCCGGGCGATGGGGGGCTTCGCACTATTCGGTTTTCGTGAAATCTGATTTGTGCTAACCATCCCGTACCATAAATGTGGCGCTGAGTATTGGTCCGATAGGTCCGCGCGGGCCTTCGGGAGTTCATGTCAGGACGCAACTCCTGGGAGGTTGAATTCAGCATCGGCGCTGGCTCATCCGTGGTGGAAAACCGGCCTCATCCGACAGAGTCCCGCCTCATTCCTTGTTTCAGAATCCCACACAGTCCGGCTTACTGACCCCTTAATCGGGCTCCAGCGCTTCTAATCCTTATTTTGCTCCATGCGCGGCCACAAGGGTCACGACGGTCACGACCCCGTCCTGGGACCAGGCTCCCGTCCCGGATCCAATGTTTGATGGCTCCGAGGCCCGACAACCAGCCTTGGGCGCCGAACTCCAGGAAAAAACAGCCCCGGAAACCGAAGCCTCAGAAAAGCCGCTGGTTGGAAAAAACAGATCGTCAGTTCAGCCGCCCTGATTCGTACCGTGTTCAGAGCGTCCGCGTTGACATGCTGCGCGCTGGCTTGGCACATGCTGGTCCACGCTTCTGGGGGGCGTATCGTGCCAGACCCACGTCTTCAGTCTGGGCGCTGAGATCCGTGACAGCACGCTGCGAGCTTTAAGTCGGGCCTGTCCCCCTACAGGAGGAATACTCAAAAACAGTCAAAAGATATTCTGGGGACCATGTTTGACAATTTTTGAAAATCTTTGGCGTATTGTTGGACTATTTCTTACTTTTCGTCCAAAATCCCCCTGTAGGGGGACATGCCCGACCTAATGCGAGCTGCGCGCTGCGTATCGGGGCGGCCGAGCCTGCCGGAGGGCCGGCCGCCCCTCTTACCTTGGCCGGGAAGGCACACGCCCAGGATCGGTGCACACGCCCTCTGACCCTGGCTAGGAAGGCATGTGCACCGATCCTGGGTCAAGGATGGACGCTGTCAGGGTCGGTGCATGTGCACAGTTCCCTTCGCCCGACCCATGACAGTCAGCCACGCGCAAAGGGGGGTGGGGGGAGGGGGGGGGCCTCTTATAAAGCACCCCTGCTTCTTGGAAGGCGCGGGCCTTGTCTCAAATGTAAGGCCGGCGCCTTCTAAGAAGCAGCCTGCTTCTAAGAAGCCTCCCCCCTACCCCCCACCCCCTTGTGCGCGCCGCCAAGACAGCACGCTGCGAGCTGCGCGCTGCGTCTCGGGGCGGCCGGGACCGCCGGAGGGCCGGCCGCCCCTCCGGCCTCTCCAGGAGCGGCCTCTGCGGCACCGACTGCGCGGGCTGCGCGCGGGCCGCGCGGGCCCCCGCCTCGCGGCGGGCGGCGCCGCCTCCCGCCCCGCCGTGGAGGCCCGGTGGCGGCCGGGCGTCGCGCGGTCGCGCTCCACCTGTGATGCTCCTGCTGCTCCTCCTTCTCCCTCCTCCTCCTCCTCCTCCTCCTCCCTCCTCCTCCTCCTCCTCCTCCTCTCTCCTCCTCCTCCTCCTCCTCCCACTCCTCCTCCTCTCCTCCTCCTCCTCCTCCCCTCTCCTCCTCCTCCTCTCCTCCTCCTCCTCCTCCTCTCTCCTCCTCCTCCTCCTCCTCCTCCTCCTACCTCCTCCTCCTCCTCCTCCTCCTCCTCCTCCTCCTCCTCCTCCTCCTCCTCCTCCTCCTCCTCCTCCTCCTCCTCCTCCTACCCTCCCCCCGCGACCTCCCCCTCCCTCCTCCATCCCCCTCCCTTCTCAGGAGCCCGCCCCCCTCGCGCCAGCCTCCTGTGCGCGCCGCTCCGCAGCCAGCGGCTCGTGGCAGTCGTGGCTCTCCACGGGCAGCGTGAAGCCCAGAGTTATGATGCTCCAACCTACTGTAGCCCTGACCACCAGGAAGCATTTCGAGCGCCCAAAAAAGTGCCGAAACTCGAGGGTTTTCGCGTGTCGGGCCCTGGGAAGCACTCGTTTCGACACTGTTCCGACACTCTTTCGGCACTCTTTCCGGGTGCTCGAGATTATTTCGGGGATGCGGTCCTTAAGCCGGATGGGAACAACATAACGCTCCACTCGGGGGCGGCAAAGAGGGGGGTGAGGACTAGGGGGGTGGATATCATGGCGGGGGCCATGATATTTCCCCAGGTTTCAGGGCGCCTCCTCTTGTTTCATTGCGACCCTGGCCCCCCCGCTGGGCCGCGCACATGCCGCCGGTCCTGATTTGCACCCCCCCGTCTTGGACATCCCCCTCTTGGCCGCTCCCGATCCACTTCGGCACCCGCTGCGCGGCGCGTCTCCGTGCCTATAGCCTCGTCGCGGAGTCGGCCGGGAGTCCGAGGTGATCCAGCACCGGGTGCTGGCCAGCAGAAGGGGCGGCCAGGTTCGAGGTTCTGGGTTCGCGGAGGTGCTGCGCCTTTTTTCTCAGGAGGGAGAAAAACACACACACACACACACACACACACACACACACACGCACACACACACACACACACGGACACAAGTAATCGTCGATTTCCCAGAACATATGGGAAAATATGGGAAGTGGGGGTGAAGGCAAAAACCCAGAAGATATGGAAAATATGGGGAATGCTGTTATTTGTGTGTATTTGTTTGTGTGTCCCAGGGCCTCTTCAGTTTTCAGGCCAGGGAGCGTCAAAAATCGATCTGGGGTGAAGAAACTGCACCAGGTGGACCCCGGGAGGGGTCCGATAGGACCGATCCTGAGCGGAGTCTCTTTCGTCCCCCCATCGGGACAGGTGTTCTCGGGGCACATCCAGCTCAGATCCCCTGGCCGCCTCCAATCCTCGTCCCTCCTCCTCGGAGATGCTCGCGCCGCGCCAAGAGCACGATTGGAGGTTTCTGGTCGCTTTCGGCCTCTGGGAGGCTGCGCCGACCCCGTGGCCGTCAAGAGAGTGGTCGGGATGGAGAGCCGGCCCTGGCGAAGCCGCGTTGTAACCAGCGCGGCATCGGACGTTTGTGTCCGCCTCGCTGCCCACCTGTCGGGTCGGCCGAAGCTGGGGGGGCGAAGGAGGGGGGAGCGTACGCCAGGTTCGCGCCGTGTCTATGCGTCGGCGACCCTGCCGCGGGCGGTCTGCGTTGAACGCCGCCAGCGACCCAGAGTCGGTCTCAACGGTCTGACGTTTCGGAAACGGCCGATCGCTCAAGGTTGAACACACCCTCTTTGGATGGGACTTTTCTCAAACGCTAGGTGCAGTTCAGTAGCGCTATCGTCCTTGGCGGACTCAGACTGAACCACCCCAAAATAGGCTGCTGAACGGTAGACGGAGACTCTGGCGAGAAAGTCCCCCATGATTCCGCAATTGAATGAAAGCTGGCATGTGCGCCCCAGAATCCCCGATCCTCGAAAGAAAGGATGCCCTCGATTCTCGATCCTTGATCCTGGGTCACCCGCCCCGACTGATGAGATGAGCCTCCGTTTTGCAACCTCTCCTCCTCCTCCTCCTCTTCCTCCTCCTTCTTCTCCTCCTCCTCCTCCTCCTCCTCCTCCGCTTCCTCCTCCTCCTCCTCCTCCCCCTCCTCCTCCTCCTCCTCCTCTCCTCCTCCTCCTCCTCCTCCTCCTCCTCCTCCTCCTCTCTCCTCCTCCTCCTCCTCCTCCTCCTCCTCCTCCTCCTCCTCCTCCTCCTCCCCTCCCAGAAGCGCAGCGAGCCGTTGAGTCTGGGCCGTCTTGGGCGGCAGAGGGTACCGCGCCGAGCAACTCGCCCTCGTGCTCGCGGCTCCCACTCCGACTCCTCCTCCTCCTCCTCCTCCTCCTCCTCCTCCTCCTCGCGCGTGCCCGGCGCGTGTCCACGCGCGTCTCCGCGAGTCCTGAGTGGCGCTAAGTCGCCAACTGTGGTGATACCGCTCGCACCACGAAGCTGCCCCGATGTCTGCACCTCAACAGCTCGAGGCTTTCCCCCCCGGGGTGACGGCGTTGTTGTGTCTCCTCGCAGCCAAGACTCTGAAACAGTGTCGGACCGCACCAGACGGATGAGTGACTGTCCAAGGGTGCCCTTTCACTCTTGCGTCTCGGCCCGTCCAGCCCGTCAGCCATGGGCGTCCAGCCTCGGCTTCACTGGCCTTGCGTCCTTGGTAGCCGCGCGTCGTTGTGATCCGGTCGCGACGTACGTAGCACTTTGGGTTCAGGAGCGGCTCCAGGTTTGGGGCCGCTCCTTCGATCTAGGCCGGGAAGCCCAGTCGTGGCCGGAGCTCGCCGTGGCGGTCTTCGTGCCAGCACGGTGGCTGTAGAATTCGAGGTTAGTTTTTGTAGGTGCGCATGCGAGCACTAGTGCAGGCGCAAATGCGAAGTGACTCTAGATAGCGAGTGCGCTAGATGTGCATCAGCTAGCTTTTGGTCCGCTGCACCCTCCTGCGGGCCTTTCCTTTCCCCAGCCTCGGTGCAGGGCGAAGTGTTCCTGCCAGTGGTCACTGCGCCACCGCTGCAGGATGACTGTCATCGGCAGGATGGCAACGGCACGGCATCTTTGCCGCCTCCCCATTTACTTATTCTGAAGAGCCCCCCATAAGAGGGCACGCTCACAAACGAAGAGGGCGGGAATTTCTGAAACATTCTGATTGATCCCCCCGCGGTGCCCAGTATGTTTTTTTATTGAGATGTGCCCCCCCCCCCGCCCCCAGGGCTCGCACTTTGCTTGTATGCAGGAAAGTCTTGAGCTTCAGTCTCAACCCCTGGCCCTTTTTACAACAACAACAACAACAACAACAACACCAACAACAACAACGTCAACGACAACAACAGCAACAGCACCTATTGCATTTACTATTATTACCACCACTATCTATTCTATTATTACTATTACTAGTGCTACTACTGCTTCAACTACTACTACGTTTACCACTACTACTATTGATACATCTTCTTCTTCTTCTACTACTACTACTACTACTACTACTACTACTACTCCTACTGCTACTACTACTACTACTACTACTACTACTACTACTACTACGACTACTACTACGACTACTACTACTACTACTACTACTACGACTACTACTACTACTACCACTACTATTACTACTACCACTACTACTACTACTACGACTACTACTACTACTACTACTACTACTACTACTACTACTACTACTACTACTACTACTACTACTACTACTAGTACTATTGCTACTGCTACTGCTTCTACTGCGACTATGACTACGACTACGACTTCGACTACTACCAGAACAACAATCATTACAATGCTGTTCGCCCTTGTCTGCTCGAGGGCCATTCAGCACATATATCCCATCCTCGGTACCGCCCCTCTTCGTCTTCGATCGTACCACCTTGGGAATGTTATATCTTCCGTACCTACTATGCGCATGTAGTGCAGCCCCGAAGGCAGGAGAGGCAAGGACGGATGGAAGGGGACAATGGGGAGGGAGGAGGATGGAGCACGAGAGAGGGTAGCAGGAGGGGGCTCGGAGCAGAAAACACGTGGCAGAACCAGACGGGCAGATCGGGCGGGTAGACCCCAACGGGCGGGTCGGGAAGGTTGGCCCAGGCGACCCGGTCGAGCAAGCGGGCTGCTGAAGCGCGGTTACCGCGTGAAGCGCGAGGAGATCTCAACCGATAGCGCGATTCCCAAGAAAATCATGAGGAAATATACAGCGAGAACGTGATTCCTGAGTGTCGAGGGCGCGGCGACTATAGACATTGCAAGGACGTCCCACGCGAGAGCGCAATTCCTGTATAAGGTGTGAGGACATCCCGCGCGAGAGCGCGATTTTGGAATAAGTTGTGAAGAAAATTCTGGCGGAACCGCTGCTGTTGCAAACCGGGGGCCAACAACACACAATTTGGTGACACTACATCTTCGTTCGTGAGAGAGACAGGTGCGAGCCCCGGGGGGAAGTACTTCATTGGAAAAATAGAACGGTTACCGCTGGTACGACAACTATTGGCCTAAGACAATGAGAACCCAACAACAACAACAACAACAACAACAACAACAACAACAAGCACACCAACAACAATAATAACAATAACAGCAACGGAAACGGCAGCGACAGCAACAACAGCAACAACAAAAACACTTAGATTCAGACTGTGCGCTATCATTTGTTCGCGGGCCAGTCAACACGTATATCCCTGACCCTCTATACCCGTCCTTTTCGTCGTCGATCGTACCCCCATGGGTGCATATATGTGTGTACATATGTATAGATTACCTGCAACGCGTACTTCGCGCAGCCCTTCAGGCAGGGGAAGAGAACCCGGATAGAAGGGGGACATGGGGGAGGGAGGAGGATGGAGCACGAGAGAGAGAGAGAGAGAAAGTAGCAGGAGAGGGGGGCTCAGAGCAGAAAACATGTGGCAGAACCAGACGGGCAGATCGGGCGGGTAGACACCAACGAGCGGGTCAGGAAGGCGGGCCCAGGCGGCCAAGTCGAGCAGGCGGATTGCTGAAACGTGATTACTGC